TATAGAAGGTAGAATTTTAGCAAGTAGCTTTTTTGTTTTAGCACATGGGCATATATACAGAAATACTTCTGGATTTTCAAAACAACTTCCATCAAGTATTTGTATTATGAAGACTAAATCTGTGGATGACTGCAGTACAGGTTCCTTTTATCTGAACTAATCTGAAGTTCAAGGACTTTCAGATAGATGGCTTACCTTTGGCCTGTGTATTCTCACGTGAAAGCCACTTCAGCAAAACTCAGGAGTCCAATTCAGCTTTGCTGTAACGACTCTCTTGACTTCAGCAATGCTTCATATGCTCAGACCAGCTCTGAATTTATCCCTATGGCTTCTCGGTCACTAGTCCTTCCTTCCAACTCACAAACTGCCTACATAATAAAAGTGATTCATTACAAACCACTGGGTTACAAAGTAGAGTGAACACTGAGACCTATAACTTTTTGATATGTGCTCAGTCATAAAAATGAATTCATATGGTCTTATTCCATAAACTCACTTTACAAATATTAGACCTGCAACCATACTTCCGTGAGCTGTAGTTTTGCAAAGCTCATAAGTTAAGCAAGGTCAGAATTGGTCAATATTTGGATGAGAATAGGGGGAGCGGGGAGAAAAGAAAAGGGGGAAGAAAAAAAAAAGTGTATACTCTGGAGGTCCTGCATTGTTTGTAAGTTAGGACATAGCATGCTCCTCTTTAAAAGGCTTTGGTATTAGTCTTAGAATACAACAAAATGTGTTTGCTTTAGCAATACACATCTGTGCTGCATCTTAGCTGTTTCAGATAACATGTTTTCCCACCACCCTTCAATCTAGGAGGTAAATCTACAACAAATACCTCCACTGCTACTCATCACCCTCTCCCTGAAGGGATTTGTTGCTACTTCTACTATTTCTGCATTCTCTGTGCTTTATCTAGCAAGAAATACAGCTCTATAACTAATGGAAAACAAACAAACACATTCTCCCTACCTTCTCCCATAAATAGTTTCCACCAAGTATCTCATGGTCTCTCTCCCCTTTTGAGCTCTTCCTTCAGGCAGCCCTGCCCCTCTCCCAGGTGTGTGCAATGAATTGCTGAAGTGTCTTTAACCTTTTCTTGTCCTGGAAGAGCTTCTATGTAAGAGGAGCTGTGCCTTGTGAAAGTATGCAGAGCAGTACATAGTCACAAAGGACACCTTAGTTATTGAAGGTGACAAGGAAAAGTCAGTGCTGTACAGTAACTTTCTGAAAAACAGCTCAGTCACGCATCGGAACTGCAAACCTGCCTGGCTTTTCCTAGCGCTGGCGCACACGGCACAACAGCTCTTCCAGAACCTTTGTCAGGCTGCGATTAACAACAGCTTTTGCAGCAAAGGGGGTAAAATGGGGAAGTTCACCAATCCTGTGCCTATTGCTGTGCAGCAAGGCAGCTGCATTGCAGTGGAAGGACTGCAAGTGGGCATGGAGGTCCCAGGTGGAGAGGCAGCAACTCCCCCACGCAGGTTCCCTTCCCCCTGTGCACGGCTGGCTGCCCACCAGCTCACAGCCTGCCTGCCACACCAAGGAGGGACGAGGAAAAGGGGTGTTTCTGCCGCTATGACTTTATGTGGTGGTTCCCATATCGTTCAGCTGTTGAAGAGCAAGCCTCTTCCTACTAAAGCAAATCATAAACTGGGGCTTAAGAAGCTGGATCCCAAATTAGACAGATCAGTAGCAAAGCTGTTAGCACGAGGCGTGCATCAGAAATAGCTGGATGGCGCAGCAGTACATCAAGGGGTTTTCATGCAATAAAATGGAAGGTAGAAGCGCAGCCAGGAGGTAGAAAACCCTGACTCGGCTACAGCCAAATAAACTTAAATAGCTTTGGGAATAAATCGGTGGTTTAATCCGGATCAGGAACAGGTGCTATGAATGTGATTCAGTAAATGGCCGAGAGCCTGCCAGAAGGGAGAGAAATGTGTTGCTTTTGAGATAATTTCCCAGAAGCTTCATAAAAGAAAATTGATTACTGGAGTTTAATAATTAAAACAGGGCCAGATATATAGTAATCAAATGAGTTTTTAATTACATCTCAAGCAGAAATAAAATCCAATTTGTGTATTTTGTCTCAGAAAAGTCCTACTGAAATGCTTTGGTAGCTGGAAAAAATAAAATAAAAGCCAATTTCCATAGGAATTATAGTAGTTGGTTTAATTAAAAGTCTATATCAGAATGAAAGAGTCCCAAAGTGAAAGGATACTAAATACAGAAGCAGTGATTTAAACATCAAATCAATGTCTGAATAAAGACATTTTATAGACCAAGTGCAAAATCTGCACTGTCAAGTATCCCTACTCTAAATTAATGTGTAATAAAATAAAGTTTCTTAAAATTACACTATATATTTTGTAAGTATTCTATAGAATTAATTGCTTGTGCTGTGGTAAAACTGAATATTAAATACATGGTTTATTCTTTCTTAAATATTCCTTTTAATTTATTTCATCAAAGTTCATGTTATTAGTTAACCATTCTTGTTATTTACCTGGTAACCTCTGTTGCACCTGGGTTATTAGATTCTGTAATACGCACTTAGGTAAATATATCTAAGAAATACACATATTTACTTTTGGATTTAGAATGTGTTTACAGGTTGTGAGATACAGTAATTACAGTAGAACTGTGTGGGTGCTTCTTGAATCTATTCCCAACCTACTTGGGCTTCTGGTCTCTGCTGCAGCTGATGCAAAGCTGATTGATCTAAGCAGCTCCAGCACTCACAACGCTGCTGGCACTGTACGTGAGGGCTGTCTTCTGCCATCAGAGTGTGGCATGTGCCTAGGCCAGGAGGGATGGCACAGCGGCAGGTCATGCCCAAACCTCTGCGTGTGCTCCTGGGCACTAGGATTGAAAAGGCCACTAACCAGTACAGAAAGGACACAAACGTAGCCTAGAGCTGCACGCTCGTACTGAGACAGTCCACTGTCCCCATGAGCTCCTTCTCTGTGCCACCTGTTGCAGGTGTAGGTTGCTGGTATCGCATTTATGACGGGAGCAGCCTGTACTGCATTTTGTGCTCACAGATCCTGGGGCTGACAGGGTGTGAGTGCAGAATGTCATCTTTGTGCTTAGAGACGTTTGAAATACACTGATTTTTTAAGCACTGATTTATTATTTTTTTTTAAATCTAAAGTGTATATTGGAAAAATACATCATAAAAAATTTTTCAAGATTTAAGAAATACCAGCAAGCTTAACTGCCAGGATACTGGTTTTGCACAGAAACGATCTGATACGTTGCTGTTAAGAGTTGAATATCTAATATGCTACGTCTAGACACTGGGTTGGCAGTGGTAGTGCAGGTGCTAATGACAGCAGCAGTGAGTTTTTCAGGTGTTTATGATGTATTACTGCCCCTCTGTTTTGGACTCCACCAAATCAGGTTTGGGGAATACACAATGCTCTGAAATAAAGAGCTAAAAATGGGGAGCTCTGAAGCACAGTGGTGGGAATGTTATAAATCCACATCCGTTCTGTCAAATGACAGACCATCACCAGCGAACAATACTGTATGTGCCAGAGACCACAGTAAACTGCCTTTTACCCAAGGCTGCAAAATTATCTCCCCCGTCTGTGCCGCATTCTAAGGAATAATTTCAAGTGGATTTGCTTTGAGTTCCACACGAATCAGCTACTTACTCATGGTGTAAGTGCTTTTCAGACTTTTTAGAAGTGCTGAGCATTCATATTTCCTACTGAAGTCAACTGAAACTGCAAGTTTTCAGCACATCTTAAAATCAGACCATTAACCCTTAATTATCATATAATAGCTCAATTAAAAATCTACCAAGACATACTTCAGTAGCTAAGCAAGCTCCCATGGCTTGCCGACTAGCTATAAAAAAAAATCCAGTTCTTTAGTGGTGTCTGGACTCTGGGGACCATTTAAAGTGGTTGCTGTTAACCCTGCTATTTAAAGCAAATAATGAAAATTATCAACTGCAAAGGTACCTGCTTCCCCTTTCCTTTCTTTTCCTTATAATTTTCTGCACTTTTGCTGTCTTCTCTGTCATTATTTTTTTTATCTTGCACCAACTCTTTGTTTCAAATGACAAATACAGTTTCCATTCTGTCAGAGAAAGCATGATACCAAACTCTCGGCAAAACCCACTTCTTCCTAATCAAAAAAGCTGCAAAAGAATAATACTCCTCTGTCCTGAAAGGGCACCTTATATGACCGCTTGGGAGGTAAGGGGTTAACCCTTTCTTCATATCCAGGTGCTGCTGTTAATGAGGTTCTGTCTCTCTTTAATGGAGGAACAAAACCAAGAAAAGCACTTGTGGTCTTTCCACATTTGACAGTAAAGGGTGAAGGCAAAATAAACTTCTAGCAGGGATTATATAATTTGGGGGCTGATTCAAAGCCAGCTGAAACCAGATAAAAGATTCTTACTGGCTTGTGTGAGCTTTGGACTGGGTATGTAGAAAAGAGGTGATTTCAGTGCAATCTAAAAAGAAAACTTTTTTTTCTTTATTTTGAGCACACAGAAATGGTTTTTTTGCCAGCTTTGGAAAGCACAGGACTGTTGTGGTTTACTCCTCTATAGGAAAACAAATCTAGCGCCAGGGAGAATCTGAAGGTTTTTTTCAGCTTTGTCCAACTTGTCATCCAACCAGTGGACCTCCTGCTCATAGATGGCAGCAACCAGATAGCCTCAGGCACCTTGGGGATGCTTCAGAAGGACTATGTTTAAAGATCACAAGAAAGCTGAAGTAGTTGAGCAGCAACTCTGCCATCTTACATGCTTTTTTTGACATTTTTGGTGGCTCACTTAAAGCCTCAGGTAAAATGAGTAAGATGAGATCTCAATGTGAACAATAAGCTTTACCTACACAGGAATTTACAGCTGGGGCCAAGGAGGGTGGGAATATGGTGCAAATTAAACTCCCTTCACCCTGTTACTCCCTGGACTGTCCATCAAAGAAGTGGAAATGTTGTCAATATTTTTTCTCTCATCCTCTTTTTTTTCAATCTTCTTCCAGTGTCTAGTGAAGCTGAATGCAAAACTGAAGCCTATGTTGGACTCTGTGGCAGTAAATAGAGGTAAATGGGAGGAGCTGCACCAAAAAAGACTACCTTCTCACACGGCATCCTCGTCCTCCTTTTCCTCTAGCTTTACCATGTCTCTCAAAGACATAAATTAAGCCTGCAAATGTCAGCGTCGCTTTACGATAAGAGCTGTCTGAAAGGTTTTCATAAGCTTAGGCCCACTGGTTTTTTTAATAAATGCTTTCACAGACATGCTTAATTGATTGGCTAATACCTTGATGGCAGCATAGTTGGCTTTTACTGAGAGGCTTAGTGGGACTGGAGGGAAGGCCTGCGGGGAGATTGCACTGGTATCTGGAGCGACATGGAAGACTTAGCACAAGAAGCATTCATTCAGCTCCACTACATTTCAGCTGCTGCTGTAAAGATCTGTAAAGCTGACAACAGCCTGAAATATAAGAACTTACAGCTTAATAAAATTAATAATACAGAGCAGAACTGGGATGCAGGCTGGTCAATTCATATGCAAGGAGCTGCAGGAAAACAGAATAGTATGTAATTACATCGTTGTTTTGCATCTCTTCAGTACACGTTATGAATCAATTATGCCTGCTTTTGTGATGTTCCTCTCTCACTCTTCCCTCCTCTTTTACGCCTGAATGTTCTGAAAAGCCTGCTTTGTATTCTAAAGAAGTATTTTTTTACAACAAAGCTTCTTAGTGATTGATCAGGGCCTTTAGAATTGCCTACCTTTGCTACATTTAAAAACAAACTTTATTATCTTTAAAAACACCACCAACCTGTCCCTGCTTCCCTGAGAAATTCATATTAACAATGCAGTAAATTTCTCAGCAAGGGGAAGTTTGCATAAAGGCAAAATATTGCATGGTAATTTTAGAGGGTTTTTTTTTTTCTTTTTTAAAAAGGTTCTTTTAACACATTCGTTTTTTTAAAAAAATTACAGTGTCCCTTAAGGAAAAGATTAATGGGCTTTGATGAAAATAGAATACAAATAAAAAAGGAAGTATGTTGCCTTTTGCTTTGGGTTTATATTACACCGCGGATAAGCCTTTCTAGTATACTTTCTGGTTTAAATTAATATTTTGAAATGGTAGAGAGGAAGAATATCATCATACTGGATTGACTACCTCTTTCTTCTCTCGCAGTTCTTTCAGTACAATTTGAGATGCTATTGTTACAGCTAGCACAGCACTAATCAAGGCTCACATGGAGATGTCTGTGGTAAAGGTGTTCATAAAAATCTAATCAAACATGATAGGTCACAAAACCAAACATGTTTAGTTCTGTGTGATGAAGCTAGTATTACCTTCCATTAGTGCAGAGATCCCTAGTGTAGCAAAACTGTGACCTATGATTTGAGGGTGCTTTCTCTGCTGCATGACTGGACACAAGAGGAGTCATGTTGCAGTGCTTACGAGTTCCCATTCAAAGGGGAAAAAAAGCCTTTGTACTCCATGAAAAATGAGATTCTAAATATAGGGTTCTCTGGCAGCAGAAATTAAAGCTGAATTCAGCTTAGTTTTACACCTGTGCCAAACTCCATTTACTTCACTAGAATTACCTTGAACTGGCACCAACTTAATGGAAATCAGAACCTGTCCAGATGCTAAAAAGAGCTTTCCTCCTTTCTAAGGAAAGTGAGCACTTGGCGCCTTTGAAAAGCTGACTACATCTGTCTGGCAATCAAACAGAAACAACAAAGCTGCTGATCACTTCTTCAGAAAAAAAACACAACAAAACAAAAACCCTCTGTGCTACTAATCATGTGTATAGGAGAATAGCTGGAAATTTCAGTACCATTGCAAGCCAGTCCGCTGGTACGCAACCGAACCACATCACTTTCTCTAGCAGAAAGCAGCAGAAATGCAGACTGCGCAGCACTGAATACATGTGCCAAACAGAAATGTTTCTGCTATTATTTTACCATTTCTTTCTTCCCTGAATAAAGAGAGATGCAGGATAGCAAGCAGCAAGCCATACAAAACTTAGAACTCGTACTTTACAGGCGAAACAGATACTGGGAACTGACATAGGACTGCTGGCAGGTACGTACAGCTATCCTGAATTTTGATACTGCATATTGCTAAGCAGAACATAATTCATAGCGTGTACCCTACAGCTTCCCCAAGGTTGAGTCTCCCCTCATTTCCTCTCCTTCTTCTTGGCTTCAGTGCACCGTTGCCCATGGCAACACCCACCGGCAGGGATGGAGATTCAGCTCCACCGCAACCTGACACACAGCTGAAGCTCTAACAATGTCAACCATCAATCAAGTGACTGTTTGTAATTGCCTCCATCTATTTCTCCTGTCTTTCGGTATCTTTGCTATTGTGGGTCAAAATTCAGAAACTGCTGACTAATGTTATGGTTCTGTTCCTCCATCACAAGGAAGAAAATGAGAGAGCACGGCTAGATCTTTATCAAATTGTTCTCAGGCAAAACGAAGCAGCCCTAGTGAGGGGCACAGCAGTGCATCTCAGAACAGCACTGGGTCTCTGAAAGTGATATAGCTCAATTTTAAAAACAAACAAACAAAAACCCACCGCCCTTATACTATTTTAACACGTAGCTTAGGGATTGGCAAATGACTTGCATTTTTGAGAGAAGCAGAAGATTCTTTATGGAAACATGCAGTACAGTAAAGAAATATATTCCAAGTTTCTTATATTTTAAGGTGGTGGAAAACACTTTTTAGCTAGTGCTTACCAGCTTGATAGACAGAAATTGTATCTACTTTTAATTGTTTCTGATAGGGAAACATTTTCCCAGTACATAGGGAAACTGTTCTGGGCAAGAAAATGTATTTTTGCCAGACTCACGGATGAGATGAATTCTCCATCTTTTACTTTTTTCCCTCCCCACCTCACAAGGAGAGATCAAAAAGCATTGAAATCTGTTTAGTCCTGTGATTGTGTGTAAAACACAGGTCCACAAATTAGAGGGCACGTGGAGAAGAGGACAGAGAACCCACCGTTACCCAGGACAGTCCTAGTAAAATGCTGCTTGGTCTTCCCTGGAGATACCCAACACATCTGTTCTGCCTCAGCCACAGACAAGTCCTCACTTACTTGCCCCAGCTGTTAGTGGACATTTCGCCTTGAACAAGGGCTCTAGTATTTACAATTTCAGTGCTAAAATGTGGTGAGCGCGTGGACCATCCATAGGGTCACGGGGGCTTCATTGTCCCCCAGAGTTGCATTGAGCAGGTTCAACTGCAATGCCTTTCTTCTCGGTGTCCTACTGACTAGTGCTAACTGTAGCCTGAAGTCGGTCAGGTTCGTTGTCTTAGGAATTACAGGTCGGTCATGAGGTCTCGCAGGAGCCAGTCAGCGACCCTCACTTTATCAGCAGAAAATGCTCAGGAGGAGTTAGGTCTTCATCCCCATCCTCAAAGATAGGTCAGGCCATACAGTAATTCCACTCAGGATTCTCAGTTGTGAGACTGCTCACCAAAATCAATCTTTCCTCACCAGAAAAACCTCCCCCAAAACCCCAAACAAACAAACCCAAAACCATAAAGTCAAAAGAGCAGGCTTGTCTCCTGCCAAAGCCCCCTTACATGTGCTCAGCAAGGGGACAGGGTGCCCACTGGGCACAGCCCCAATTTCTGCTTCATTCCTGGGAGATGCACAGAGCAGAGAGGCTTTGGTGGAAGAGCTCAGGAGGGGCTTGTGCGTACATCCTCCTGGACTAAAGCCCTCCCCTGCAACAGGACACTGTGGCCCCACCAGGAAACCAAACACTGTTCAAGGCGGGAGGACCAGGGGTAGAGGCTCTCCTATGGCTCAGACAGAAAAAGGGTTTCCCACCTCCCAAGAACAAGATGTCCCAAATGGTGTCTTTGGCCATAGTTTGAGTAGTCAAATCAGATAATTTCCCTTAAAAGTGCCCCATCATTTTGCCTTTCTCCCAGCCTGGGACTTGCAGGCAGAACGGAACAGGTTCAACAGAACTGAGACGCAGACAGCTGCTTCTGCCAGAACACGGTGTTGCCCCTGCTCCAAAGCAGAATCACACTGACAAGGTGAGGCAGCAGTAGCTCACAGAAGATTAAATTGGGTACCTCATGTAGTAATTAGACACTGAACTCCCCACACAGCTCTGTCACAGCCAGCCCCTACTGTCTGCAGGGCCAGGGACCTTGCTGAGAAGGTCGTTGGCATGTTTTGTGCCCTGCAGAAGATAGCCATGGAGTAGACAAGTATGTTTCATCTCAGCTCAGGTATTCCTTCAGATGGTGTCCTTGGTACAGCAGCTGCATTCTTCTGGACTGGCGACCTTGCTAATTGCTCCTTCTTATAGGGCAATCTCATAACGTGCCTGTAGTTATCAACGAAGCCAATACTAGCACTCACAAGCTGTTTTTGAAAACTGCAGCCAGCAGTGCCTGATGTCATTTGTAATACTTAAAACTAATTAATCCTAGTGGAAAAATAGGAGTGCTTCAGTCTAACAGGCCAAATATTTATTTTCCCTTCATAAAATTAAAACAATTTTAGTTACTGATGGATAGTTTATGCATTGAGTGAAATTTTAGAACAGGTTTATTTCAAAGACACTTCGAATGCTTAGTGTTCTGGGCAAGAAAATGTAGAGCAAAAAGGTTTTTTATTGCCTTTGTCAAAGAAACAGATTTTTAAGAGTAAAATCATGTGAATGGTTTCTAACATAACAATGAAGTGGGAGGTATACATCAGCTGAAATGAGAGACTCCAGGGATTTCCAGCACCTGAATGTGCCAGGATTGGAACACATACTGTATATTGCTCGTTACCTGTCCTTTCTTGGATTACTTTGTATTTAATTACCTATTTATAAGCATGTTGGCCACTACATCTCACCATTCTGTGGGAAATACTGTTATAAACTCTGAACCTTCACCTCTGGGAAACAACTGACACATGCACAGGAATATCGTGTGTATGTTCTAATGCAAGCGAATCCTGCGTACTTTCAAAATGTGTAACTTAAGACTTCGGCATCCTTTTCCTTTTTGCATTTTAAGACCATTAACCTCATTGTTTTGCTTTAGTAGATCAGACAACGCTGATTCAGCTTTTTAAAGCATGTTTTTTAAATTAACCACTTGGTTTTATTGATGTCTCTAAAAAAAAATTAAATCATTTTAATGGCT